TCAAATGTCAACTCCTCACCAACCTTGATCCTACGATTGGCGAAGAAAGCTATGCGTGGAAAGTTGGGATCAAGTGAATCTACCCACACTGCATAAACATCCAAATTTGGATCACACTGTGAAGAGAAAGTAATGAAAATTCTAGCCTGTACCAGTGTTCTTCCTAAATTTTAGCTCAGCAGGTCAGGGACCATTCATGGCAGGTAAGGCAAAAAATATGCACCAAAGGTGCACTTTCATGGCGGCAGGGGTGTTATGGAGTGCAGGACATAGCCCCGCCCTTGCTGAGAAATTTGGGAGCTAAGTTCTCTGAATCATCATTCCATCATCTTAAAATCTATTTTACTTAAATTGGCCGCTGTTACCTTTACACAACAATTCAAAACGATTTATTCTAATAGTTTTACTCTGTCTTCAATGTTCTCTTTCCAAAATGCATGGTCCATAAAAAGAAAAGCTGTGCATACTTTAGTGCTTTTTACTACTAATTCATTTCCTTGTGGCATGTGAGAATCAGATCAGATCACAACTTGTCTTGTAAGTACTTCAGTAAACCTTCAGGCCGTTGCAGGTGATAAGAATTGTTGCTTCAGGTCGTAAATTTTACCGGTTACCTCCTGATAAGGAGAAAACTGTGTACACAGAACTTGTTTTCTTATTCTTTACAAATAATGACCAGTACGCGAGAGAAGCAAGTTTGCGAAAATGAGTGTGGAGTGCGAGAAAGAAAAAGAAAGAACATAATGTGGGCAAAGCACTCTTAATGTAGGGGTAAGAGGTAGAGGTAAGACAGAGGGGAAAGAATATAGAAAAAAATTGCACGAAAACCAAAAATTTGAAGCAAAAGGTCTTCATTATTACACAAGGAGATGTATGGAGAGTATAGTAGAATATACTTGTTGGTATCAAAACTTTCTACAGAGAGCATCCTTACTGAATAATTAATGAAGTGATATATTGCCATACTTGTTGATATAAAAGGGCGCGATCCATTCAACCAAAATTTCAACTGGTCCGATCGGGAAAAGTGGTCCATGTCAAAAGGTGGACCCGTTTTTTCGAAACTTTTCCGGTTGGACCGAACCGATCCATTGAGTTTTGGACCGAAATTTCCGGAAATTTTGGTTGAATGGATCGTGCCCAAAGCTAACCATAGGGAGCTTCCTTACCGAATGATTAATGAAGTGAGATATATTACCATACTTCTTTGCATCTAAAGTATACAAACACTCCCCTTCGTTGAAATCCAAATCAAACAAGTATGTCTGCCCACAGCTATCATAAACTTTGCCTCTCTCTTCTGCTTCCTCCTGAGTAATAGCCTCTCCAACATATTCAGTGACCAGCTGATGTTTTTCTATTAATTCCATTGTCTTGACACCCCAGCCACATCCATTTGGAGTACGAAATATTGCCACCTGATAATACACAGAACTGGATTTTAAGTTCTAGTTTTTCCTAGGGTGACAATAATACACCCATGCATCGGTGAAGTATGATATTTCTTCCAACAATACAAATTTTTTTTTAAGACAAGACACCATGATATTATGATAACAATAGCAGACCTTCTAACCCCTAAGCCATGCAAATCTAGAGTGTTTGAAAAAAAGCCCCCCCCCCCCCAAAAAAAAAAAAAAAATGGAGATTGGGACCTCAAACATGGAGATTTCCAAAATATGAGTCAAATAAAACTAAAAACGCAGATTATTTTTGTCATGGTATTCTTGACCCTATTAGTGGTCTCTGTTGTACTCTTGTTACTACTTCTCTTTTGGCAGTAGTGAGAAGATTCTTGTGCCATGTTTGGATGTAATAATGATCGCCTTCTTCTAGTTTAGTATTAGAAATATGATCTTTCATTGTACATTTCTCGGGAAAAAGGCGATCATTATTACATCAAAACACGGCACAAGGATCTTTTTTCCCATTACAGTCTTATTCTAAGAAAACTTTAAGAAAAAATGTCCCAAAAAGCGCTTGAAAATACAAATGAAATGTGCTCATGCCCCCTGGGCATCCTTTAATACTCCTTAAATCGAATTAATTCAATATGGCCGCCGTATCGGAAAAAAGGTCTATTTGGCACCACACAATTTTGTCAATGTTACAGCTTTCAAAAACAGTTTGTCCAGCTTTCTTGTTGTGTGGTTATTGAGGGTGCATGGTAAAACAATAGTGTGTAGAATCAGCAAATTAAAGGCATTTTAACAATATTAGTTCATTTTTTCACCTTACCTTAACAGTGCGTCCCCTCTGCAAGACACGATTCCTACAGGACAGACCGCAAGGGCAGCGTGAATTACACTCATAAATTGGTGTCCCTGGTTTAACACGCACCCGGCCATTTCTATCATAAGCAAACTGTCCTCCACGTGCACCGTTCCGCGGACAATCACAACTCTCTTTCATACAAATTCGTTCACAGCTACAACCCACAAGAAAGTCATTATTATGTACATGACGTACGTCTTCGTGCAGTAAATTGTGAGTGATGTATTCAAAGTCTCTTGGTGGGCCTTCATTATCTATCGTGTTTTCAACTGCAATATATGCCTCATTATGACTTTGTTCATTTAAATATTTTTCCCACTCATCAAGTTGTTGATGTAGGTCTTTCTTAAATTTATACAACCTACTTCGAGGAACTCTATTATTGGAGCCTGCAACCTTGCGAAGTCTTAGATGAAGTTCATACCTGGACTCATATTGAGATTTGAGGGAAGTTATTGAATCTAAACAAGGTACTGTAAAATTCTTGAGTGTGTGTTTAACTTCTGGAGAGCAGGTTATTTGATTACCAGAATCCTGAAAAGGTATCACGATCGAGAAAGAATTATTAAGATTTAATGACGTTTCACTTGAACTCGGTAAACCGTTGATTTCGATTTCCTCGTCCAAGTCATCTTGAATGTGCACGACAAGCGGCCGGGAACTTAATGTCACAGTCGTGTTGTCAAGAAAAACTTCTTGCACACTTGAATTATCATCTTCTTCGTGGATCGATGGACTTGGCGTTTCTCCATTTATAGTAGTAGAAGGGGAGTCGTCGATGAAGATTACCTCTCGAACCTTTGATCTTGAATCGCTTCTTTCGATTTCATTTAAGCCAGGATTTAAGGAATTTGAGGAAGTGATACGATTTACAATTGCCTCCAAAGAGCACCTTTCATCCATTTCAAAGCAACATTCTACGGGGTTCAATCTATCCACAAGTATTAGAAAAAAAGAAAAACGCAACTGTCAATTTTTGAAACTCATCACAAAAGTATCCGCATCACCGCCATCTTGATTCTTTTCGCGCGGTGTCACCCAAAGGAGTTCTGGGTAAATGTCAAACCGCTGATCATACCAACTGCTCATGTTCTTTCCAAGAGAGTGAAATAGCTTGAAATTTCCTATCTTCGATTCGAAAATTAGCAGCCAAAATGAACATTAGATGTGCTACGGTAAGCGAAATTCAATTGTTTGTCAAATCTCAAATTTATTTTACTTCAGTCATCGTGTGACACGTACAAATACAGCTTCTGGCCGCGAACTATCATTGACTGGAATGGCCTACCATCTGATATTCATCAAGTGTAAAATTTAAAGCTTCCACCTAGCCTCTGACTAAATTTTGTCAGTGTGATGTTTACCCCTTTCGACTGTGTCCACAACTGCTCTTTAAAAAGTGTACTGATTTAAACTTATATCCTGCACTACTTTAATAATATATTTCAGCCAGAGGATCTCATGAACATGCAACACTGTAATTTACTGTGCCTGCCAGAAAATTACCAAATGAAGTATTACTTCTACCATGGTTTGTCATGGCCACAGGTGAGTTTGATTGTCGTTAAAGGCAGGTAGGATTTTTTCGAGAAAAAGCTGAAGCCCTGGAGGGAGAAAGCAGTCTGTGCTGAAAGGAGAGATTAAGCAGAAAAAGTCTGAAGCTCTAAAGATTCTTTACAAGGAGACAAGGAAGGAGATCATATAATGATGATGATGATGATGATGAATAACATTGCAACTTCTTGCAATAAGTGCAAGAACTGGAAATCACCATTGTAATCGTTCCTACCCACACATCTCCTAGATTTAATCCATTTATTTTTATAAGCATAGAAAGAGTGGCTGAATCATGTTGTAAAGATATTTAAAGTAAACAGGGTTTCAAATCCCAGGATAAAAAAAAAAGACTTGATCACTTGATGAAGATTGTGCAGTGAAATCTAAAGCTTGGGTACGCTAGTAAGTTTTTCTATCCTGGGATTTGAAACATCTTTTACTCATTTACTTTTTTATTTTTATTGTTATTTGTTAGTTGTCTTATGTTGCTGAGGATGAAAAGGGAAAGATTGTGGGATATGTACTGGCAAAAATGTAAGTTTTAAGTATATAATCAACTTGTATGTGGCCAGTAGTTGGTAATCTGTGAAAGGCTCCCAGCAATCTAGCATGTGTCATAGACGAAACTTAACTCTGGTTAAGTCTGTCTGTGAAACAGCGCTAAAATCCCTGTTCTTGGTCCTCATAGATCTGTGTACCGAGATTTGAGTGTGTGCCATGATTGGCTTGTTAATAAAGCCATTTCAATTTGATGAAAGGAAATTCAAAATGCAGTTTCGGTGATTTGTTGAGTTTGTTGGGGTCCAGAACAATGATATCAGTGTTGCTTCACAGACGTTACTAACCAATGTTAAATTGCGTCTGTGACGCAGGCTACCTACAATCCTGAAAACTAAATATGAAGGAAAAGTAGAGTCAGTTTGATAAAGAGTAAAATAATTTAAAGGCTATTTAATTTTTACTCACCATATCATGGTGCATCAAATGACTCAAAAGTGCGACAATGAAAAATTCATAGGCCCCCAAAAATTAAAGCCATGTTCTCCTAAAAGTTTAATCATCATTTTTTTTTGTTTTTGCTGTTTTACTTTAATCTAAGCAAAAATTCTGTAGAATAAATTCTGAGCACATTGTCACAAATTGATTTTTGTTTCTTATTTAGGGAAGAAGAGCCAGATGAAGCAGTTCATGGTCACATCACCTCCTTGGTAGGAGGACTGATAAAATAATTTAATTAATGAAATGCTACTCTCATGAGCTACCAGTTGAAGGGGTATAGAAAAAAGTCCCAAGTCACTCTTGATAAGCGGATAGATTCTCCCTCTAAAATGCCTTGTATTTTCCCTTTAGAAACAAAAGGAGAATTTAACATTACATCAACAGTGATTTAGGACCTTGCCACGTACCTTTTCAATTTGAAACTTGTATCTACCCAGTTAAGTTTTCAAAAAATACCTGATTACTATCTTACAGTTCGCCCGGGAAAACCGTGAACACCTGAAATATGCTAGGAATGCTTATTGTTTTTAAGCCAATCAAGTTTGAGGACTTCACATCCAAAACCGCAAACTGAATAACTGTGTAAAAATATTTGTCAGGGTTAAGCGAAATAAAAAGAATGGAAAAGGTTAAATTTTACTTAAAGTGATGCTAAAATTGTAAAAGATATTCAAAAAAAAACTTTCATTATATTTATTCATAATTGACTTTAAAAGTGAAAGGATATTGATAGGAGGCCAACGCCCTAAATATGGCTTTTTATGACTCTTTTTTAGACCAATGTGCGAGTAATGATAATAATAATAATAATAATAATAATAATAATAA